CTCAGTGTTGCCCTGTCGTGGTTGTGCGTCAGTATAAACCTCGTGTCATGGCTCTGATTGTGATCACAGGCTGCAGCCTCCTGTACCTGTTTCACACACATTTTATTACCTGGTACCACTCACACCTCGTCTTAGTGTTTCTTATTAAGCCTTCTTCTGATTGGCAAACAGCACATGGGTGGAGTTTCTGTGCTCGCAGACAAGGGAAGCGATCTTAAAATGATCATATTAGAGACATACACGCTCTCTGACATCATACAGAGGCAAAATTAGAAAAAAAAGTCTGAAACACAGAGTTTTAGAGAGGCTGGAGGCTAAGGTTATGGATCACGGGGATTACCTTCACGTACACTGAGCTAATTATGGTAACTCTGATGATGTTTAATATGAGCATCCAACTTTGTGACAGTCATACATATATATGAGCCCCAAAAGGTTGCTGGAAACATTCCTCTGAGAGTTTGGTCCATACTGACATGACAGCAATGCACAGCTGCTGAAAGATTTGTTAGCTGCACGTGTGTAATATGAATGTCCCGTTCCACCACATCGCAAAGCTGCTTTGTGATCGGCTGACTGTGGAGGCCGTTGGAGTGATCATGTTCAAGAAGCCAGGTTGAGATGATCTGAGTTTTGTGCGATGGTGTGTTATCCTGCTGGAAGCAGCCAGCCATGGTCAGCGGGTAGGCTGTGGTGTTTCAGCAGTGTTCAGTTGGTACTAATGGACCCTTTGATGTTGTGCATTCAGAGATGGTCCTCTGCACACCTTGGTTGTAACGAGTGGTTATTTGAGCTATTGTTGCCATCATATCAGCTCAGGGTAAATGGTAAATAACTGTTTGTTATATAGTGCTGTTCTACTCTACTGGAGAACTCACAGCTCTTTACATACCCAGTTACATTCATTTAAGCCCTTTTTTTCTAAACCTAAGGGCTTTCTGTCTAACATTCACAGTCTGATGGATGCATTGGAGAGTAACTCAGGGTTCAGCATCAGCATTTTCATCCAGAGAACCTCCACCCAGGCATCGTGTGCATGCTCAGTTTGAACTTCAGCAGGTCATCTTGATCATGTCTATAGCCCTAAATGTTCTTTTATTTTACTTCGACTTCCTTGGTAACTTCTCAACCTTAACTTCATGACTAGTTGCTATCAAATTGCTCCCCTCTCTCTCTCCCAACACACTCAAAAACTTACCTCACTCCACTCATGGATGGCCACTGTGGAGAGCTAACAGACCACAATAACTCTGTCTTTACAATGAGAAGTCACACTATTTAACTCCAACAGCAACAACAGGGAAACATGTTGCTGTCAGAACAGCAGCAGTTATTCTCCGTTCCCAAAGAGTTTCATTCAAAGAAGGTAATGCAACACTGTTTTGTAAGTTTTGCAGAGGTCTGCTTTGTTCCAGGCCCCTGCAGGACCCATCGCTGCAGTGTTGTCTCTGTGCAGCCCCGCCTGCTGCTGCTCATTGTGGACGTGTGCTTTCTTTCTCCTGTGCCCACCAGCATGTTCTCATTGTCAGGGAGTAAAATACTTTCTTTGTGTCAGAACTGCTGTTGTCCCAAAAATACACAACTGAGAATGATGGAAAAACATATACAGAGTGCAAACAGAGTGATCTTTATCCTGAGCTCATTTCACTGTTCTCCACTGCTTTTAACCACAGAGGATGTACAAAGTCAACGATGCTGAAGTTCACTCCGGCCAGCGTACCCCTTTAACCCCTGCCGTGTTCTGCTAAGTTTGAGTACTCTGTTGTTGCCGTCCCTTTGGGCACAGTCTGAGTTGGAGCATCCGGCGTGAAAAATCTGCCAAAGCAAACATGCAGAGCTGCCTGCTGTGGTGACCCTGTGTGAATAAACGAGCAGCTGAAAATAGCTCGCTGCGTGCATTGACTTGCTTGTTTTGGTTAAATGAAAATAGTTACTTGGAGTTATCCTTTAAGATATTCAGTAACAGTTTGTCCCGTGTTAATGTTTGTAGAAAAGGAAAACAGAGTTTTGGGCTTGTGGTGTCTGAGTGGCCAGCACTGCGACTGGGCTGGTGGTAGCTTCACTTCCTGGTTTGGCAGCACTTGCACCATGTTTTTGTATGCTGACAGAAATATATTTGAGGTTGTATCAGGTTGTACACTTTCAGTGCATTGCAACTCAGTGGGTATTTTCCAGAGAATGCCAGAACTGGTATGTGCCACGCTCATGGAGTCTTAGTTTGGTCAGAAATATGCACACGAGAAGTCCACTGGAGGTCCTCTTGTATGGCTCTTACATTTATCCTCACTCAAAGGAGCAGATACCAGCGCTGCTGCACCGGCTCTTTTTTGTCTGATCCTTTCTCCGTCGCACTCTGGCAAGAGTGGGACCAGACACACAGCAAACCTCCATGTAACGCTGGAGGTGCTTGAATACATGTGAAACATGAACAGGTTGTAGAAGCAAAACTAGACAAGAATTAGTCAGTGAGGAGAGAGCGATGATCTGTGGCCACCACCTGCAAAACGAGCCAGATTTCTTTTTAGAAAATTAAAGATGACATGCTTTAGGACTGGGCGTCCACATATGTGGACATCACATTTTGGGTTATTTAGACCGCAATACAAAATTGTGCTCTACAATGGCCTGATATCCACTAACGAGGACATTATACCGACACTGTTCTATCGAAATTTAAAATAAATGTCCTCATATTTGGATCTCATTTTTCTCAGACACAAAAATCATGTTAAAAAAACCAAACAAATCTGGTAATTCTTTGTTTGTACATTCATCAGGTCCCAATCAGCCCAAATAGCAAAGAGAAATTAAAAAGAAAGAGTCTTAGGAGGTTAAATACTTTTAACAAGTTTAATGACCCTTCCTGTTGGACACTATTCTTAAACTGACAGTAATGTAAACGTGTTTCGATGCATGAACGACACACGTGGAGTCAGAAATAGTTCAAACACTGCTGCCCTCTAGTGGTGAATCCTGGGACCGACTGTAAAATGAACCAAATTAAAGTTGTACAGAAGATTCATTGATGCACTTTGAATCCAGTAATGTGCATTTTTGTGTTTGGTTTTTTATGTTTCTACAGAAACAAATATTTAGGACCTTTTTGAATAGGCCATGCAAATGTGACGCGCCCATTTTCCACTGATCATTTTCCTGTTTCGACCATAAACCCGAGCGGATCGTGGCCTGTGTCCAGTGGAAAATAAATAAGAGCCCAGTCATGTGAATGCAGTTCACTCAGCTGTGTCGAACAGGCCCGAAGCCTGCTTATATAAACAATAAGTTAATTTCAGCTGTGGGAGGAGGTGGAGCATGAATGTTACTCAAATCACTGACGGCTCCTCAGCCGCGATCGCTTTACGATCTCTAATGAGCCACTGAGTCAGGAAGTGCAGCTGTGGATGAACTTGAGCTAATTAACGTTAACGAGAGGAAATACGTGACCCGAGTCGCTCGTGGAGTCCAGATTTCTGTTCAGAAATCCTCAAAGTGAAATGAGATCATTAGGTTTAAGAGAGCGTAACAATCGCCCCTCGAGCTCTGGCGCTCACACAAAACACACTTAGCTTAGTTTCAATTTGGTTTATTTAAAAATTATATAGAAACAGGAGCACTGGTGTAAACGTACATGGAACAGTACAGATACTCACAATTTAACGCAACCCTGTTCAATTTCAACCGAGACTGCAAGAAAGAAACAAACACGTTACGGCAGCACGTTACCCTCAAACACATCAGAAACACACACGCGTGTCCATTCTTCATATTAACAACCAAATACTTCAAACTTTCTCTTTTTTAACATCAACTTATTAATAATAATATCAAAGAAAAGCAGTAGCATTTACAGTCAAACAGGTCCTGTAGTTGGCAGAGTCTCCCTCAGTTTCTGTCTGAATAATAATAAAACAAACAATCTTTAGTTAAGTCTGTGTGGACATGTTTTTAAATCACTTAAGCCTGGGATGCCAGTTCCATGAAGAACTGGAAACCAGTAACCATGACTGTAACCAGGATTTCAGAAGTTTATCTCAACTAAGACATAATCAACGCACTGTTTCTCCAAGCTAATCAAAAAATTAAGAATAATGTGATCAATTCAATAAGGTGCAGCCCTGCTCTCCTAATATGATATCACATGTACTGTTACAGTGGGCGACGCTCATATTAACAATAAAACCAGTGTTTAGAAAAACCAGGGAATGTGCAAGTAACACGTGTGAGCCAAAAGCTGCCAGTTTTTCTCCTCTTGGCTCTGTATGACATCAGCGAGAGCAGGCGTGGCTTACAGCACACTGATCATACTGCTGTTCATGACAGGCAGCCAATTAGAATACAGCTGACTGAGAGGGAAAGGAGCTGAATCAGCTGGTTTCAGACAGGGGGAGGGGCTGAAAACAAGGAAGAATGATTGTGAATCATGTTACAGAGATGGGAATGAGCATGAGAGGTCCCCCTCTTTAAGTGCAGCTCACGACAGAACAATGTCATTGCAACCCTTCACGAGTACAATTAAAGGAAAAGACTGACATTTATCACTGAAACAAGAAAAAAGTGAACTAAATGTGGACTGGTGCGCCACAGTCTGATGTTTTTAATATTCTCAGTAAGGAACATCATGTTTAGAAGAGAATCGTTACCCTGACAGGTTATTGAAGCTGTTATTGTTGAGACCGTGTGACTCACTTTGCTTGTAAGTTGGAACCTAAAAAACAAAAACTCGATCCCTACCAATCAAATAACACCTCATGTACTCCTGTGTTACAGTCATGAAATCAACAGATAAAAAGCTGTGACACAGGAAGTGGGGACGAGCTACTGGCCAAACTGCTTAAACAGTCAAACGGTGTAATATTGCAGTTTTGCTCATTGGTGGCTGCTTTTAACCGGTGCCACAGGCGCCCACTCCACACTTTGGTTCGCTGTTTGCTGTCTTTACAACTCAGATAATGGCTGAAAATATCAGGTACCAGGGAAGATTATTTAGAAATGAAGGTATTGTGTGAAATGCACCATGACAGTTAATGCTCCAAGTTACCTAATATTCTCTGGGATTAGCTACGATGGTCAGCTGCATAAGAGTCTGGTCCCGACACAGGCGCGAACGCCTTCAGTAGCTCCGCCCAGTCAAAGCTTCTACGATGAACCGTCTTCCAGCTGCTCGTCCTGAAAAGGGTAGCTGAGAGCAGGAGGAAAGCCCTGACTGCGGGGCTGTTCATCCAACAGCATCAGATCATCCACGTCTTTTCCTTTGTACCTCCGCCGACAGATCTTTACAGTGACTTTCCGCCCCTGAAATACTTTAAGGGCTTCTTTGGAAGCCATGGCTCTGGCAGCGGCCTCATCGCGCCCGTATCCTGTGCCCATGAAAACAGTCTGACAGCGAATTTCACACACGTGGCCTTCCTTCTGTGTGCGTCCTGCGGGGAGGCCCGTGATGTCCTTAAGCGGCACAAACACGCACGTCAGGGTTTGCTTGCACGACTCCACGCAGCTGCGAAGGATTTCAAAATGGTCCAAGTTGGGCCCAAAGCCCCCGGCCGACACCAGCTTCCACGCCACAGCCTTGTACAGGCGGTTGAAGAAGGGCTGGTGCTCAGCTGGAGCCTGTGGAGGTGGTCCCAGCTTCTGACTCGCAGGCCGCGCCGCCGTCCTGAGCGCAGGTCTGCTGTCGAGCTCATTAGGCCCGGCCTTGGCTCTTTTCACGCAGCTGTCATCCTCAAGCTCTGCAAAAGACGACACAGCAGGCAGGAAAACGTTCACTGCACAGGGATCTGCATTTAATGAGGAAACAGAGCCTCAGGTGTGGGTGTGGAGAAAACACACTGAAACCTCACAGCAACAGAGAACAGCAGTGAATGGATTTGTTGTAACGAGCTACAGAAAACTGTCAAATCTATTCTTAGATTGAAGTCACATCACTTGTAAAGGCCGTCCAAGGTAACCTTAAGCTGTTATCATGGGGAATGAAACTAATGTAAATGTTACTCTGTGTTCATATATGTCCGTGGTCACACGTCCGAGTGACAGGATCTCTTTTGCTTCTTAGCACGCAGTGTTTGTTTTTTGCACTTAAACACCCTGCAGCCCGTTTGTGGTAGATGCTGCTCCCTGCTCTGTGTGCGGCTTAGTCACAAACACACAACAGACACAATCCAGATTTAAAGTATTACAGATTTACTGCTGTTTGCATTCACAGCCGCCATCATGGATTGTTGAGTCAGGCTTGGTCGGCTGCTCCGACTTTCTGAGTTGGGAATCTGACCTGCGGCGATGTTCCAGTGGAAATTCAGAGCGTGAAGTCACTAATAGTATTTGAATCCAATGCAATCACAATGCACGGTAAGCATTTAAGCATTGTTAACGGGGCTTTTAAATAATATACACAACTACAGCCAAATCAACATGGCTGTAGAATATTATCTTTACGGCTGTTTTTGATGACATCATCTGTACAGGTGTGTTAATGTCACCTGTCACCATTATTGGTTTTCTATGTATGTATCACCCTGAATATTCCACAGAAGGTAGAAGTATGAGACTGCAGGCCAAACACTCAGCTTTGCAATTATTTTGCATTATATTTCAATTATAATTTGGGCTCCTAATGATTAGGTAATCTGCATAAAACAAATATTCTTCTGCATTCATTTGTTTTGTCCCCATTTCTCTACAGGGGTCAAATTTGGCTAAAACTCAGCTCGATCCCTGAGGATGGATGGAGACTGTGGTCAACAGGAAGTAACTATTATGCCAAGGTTACAAAAGGCAACCTTTGAGGAGGATCATTAACAGCTGCCTTCTAAGTGCAACAAATGCATGATTGTGTCTTGCATTAATGAGTAGCCAAAATCAATTAATTATGATTTTCTGTCATTTCCAAGCAGCAGCAGAAAAACCTGGACCCCATTAAATAACATGTAGTTAACCTGTGAAGATGAAATGTTAAACATGTGCACTGCTTACCAGCTGATGCGCTCCTCTTTCCTCTGGCCGTGAATTCATCTTTTGTTGTTTTGTGAACAGGAGGATCTTGGACTTTTATCCCTTCTCCCATCTCTTTGATCTTGTCCATTACAGCCTGTGGATAGCTGAGGGATTTAAAAGGTAACAATGAACTCTTGTTTTAGCGGAGAGCATCCACAGCTTTGTCATTCTGCTTCATCAGCGTGTCCTACCTGCAGCCCAGGAAAACGTGATTAGCCCAGACCATGGACAAAGAGAGCAGCCTGTCCAGGCTGCTGCTGGAGACTCCTGGCTTCACTGTCGGGAAAGCCTCCATGTTCCTAAGAATGAACTCTCTCCGAGCGACCCACTGCTTGTTGCTTTCACAGTAGCTTCTGAATGTTTCCACCCATTGGGCCAGCTGCGGATTCTGGCCCAGGTACTCTGCAACCACGTCCTCTCCGCCACTCTCCCCCGCCATCCCTGCATTCAGACACGGTTTTACGGTTAGAAGAACAACAGAAAACTAGCAGCAGCTTATTTATTTGTTAGCGGTTAGCAGTGCTAGCGTGAATCACGCCACTTAAACTCAACAAGATGACGTAAAATGGCGGTGGCCCTACTAGTTTTAAACCGCTGGTGTTTTCCTGCTGACTTGCCTGAGAGCAGCCTAACGTTTGTTGTGTCAACTAGTAAATATACCAGAGTGGACCCAACAAACCGACTCCACGAACTAACGTTAGGACAAACGGCTAGTGGAATAACATTAGCTACAGCAGAAGACACGCTAACAGCAAAAACACAGACATAAACGAGAGTAACGGGGTTGCCGTTGCTTGCACAGGAAATATAAAGTTTGTATTTTATACAGTAACTACGACATACCAAACGCTCTCCGTTGCGATGCGTTTCAGCTAGTTACATGGCCGAATGATGACGCCAGACTCGCGACGATATCTTAGTGCACAGGGAAAAAAACTACAATTCCCATGAGCTGGCTTGTGTATATCACAGAGCTCATTGAAATCCAAACAAAGCACACTTGGAGTTGCTAAAAGCTCTTGTCGATTTTAAAAACAAATAACATCGCAAGCCTGACTACTCCACTACCGAGGAGTACTGTCTCCTGCTCCGGCAGCACTCTTCCCGTGATGCTTTTCGCGCTCACGTAACAAATCTGCGACGGCTCCGGCGGCGGTTTGTTTTGGTGGCTGAATGGGAATCTCTCCGCTACATTTTCAATTTCAGACACTTTAAGTTTAATTGACATGATTCACGAGCTCTTACTGGCGCTGAGCGGATACCCGGGGACGATTTTTACATGGAACAAACGAACCGGTTTACAGGTAACACGGAAACACTGCAGTTCTCCGATACGATAACTTCACCCAGATGTTAGCTAATATGCATGTGGTTACAAGTCAAAGCTTGGCAATGTATTACAATTTAATTATGCATGAGCTAAATTATTAGCTTTGGTAGCACTATATTAAGGATATACATTTTTGCTAGGAGAGTTACTGAACGAGACAATTGGCAGGTTTAAATACTGCAAGATGAAACGTCACTCACCTGCCTCTTTATTAGGTACCCCTGTTCGTTTACGCGAGTATCAGCCAATCACATTACTGCAAATCGATGCATTTTGGCATGTAAACATATTCAAGAGGACCTGCTGAATGTCTGTGAAGGTCCTCAGTCATCCAGGTCATCATAGTCTAAAGAGCTTGGAAAGAAAAGCGTCTGGACTTCTTTAAGTTGCTTGAAGACGTTTCACCTCTCATCAGAAAAGCTTGTCAGTTCTAGGGTCAAATGGTGGAGAGTCCCAGATTAAAGCCCTGTGGGAGTTTCCTCCGAGAGGGACAAAGGACCCCCTGGTGATCCTCTACCTAATCACACGAGCCAAGGTCACAATCAGGCAGGGTTTCGGGTGAGCTCATTGTGAAACCTGGCCCCACCCTATCATGTGATTTCCTGAGGTCAGATGGCCCAGGATGTGAGTGGGCGTTAAGGTGTCTGGGAAAGATCTCAAAACTGGATTATAGATGGCAGACAGTTGGTGTCGTAAACCCCCGCCTTTGCTCAAAGATGGTCGCTCACAGTGGACATAAATGGCTTTTTCACTCCTCTTTCAAACCATCTATCCTCTCTGTCCAAAATATGAACATTGGCGGCCTCGAAAGAGTGACCTTTGACCTTCATATGCAGATGGTAATGGTAAATGGCCTGCATTTGTATAGCGCTTTTCCAGTCCAAAGGACCCCAAAGCGCTTTACACTACATTCAGTCATTCACACACTGGTGATGGCAGCTACATTGTAGCCACAGCTGCCCTGGGGCGCGCTGACAGAGGCGAGGCTGCCGGACACAGGCGCCACCTCTAGGCAAACACGGGGTTAGTATCTTGCCCAAGGATATTTGGCATGCAGCCAGGATGCAGCCTGGGATCGAACCACCGACCTTCTGATTAGTGGCTGACCTGCTCTGCCACCTGAGCTACAGCCACCCCATAATCGAATACTAGCAACTCTGTAGTGAACACTTTCAGCCACTTCAGGAAACGGGAACAACGCACCAGTTGCAGATTATGTCATGATGTCATCTTCACTGCACATGTAAGACCTGTGCACATACAGTGTGCTGAGTCACAACAACTGAACGTTTTCACTGCAGACATGTGAAATGGTTAAAATAGTGCAAGTAATGATGTCATGGCTCAGTTCTGCTAAAAAGAAGTACATTGATTTTGCTTATTTGTCATTGTTCATGTGTAATGTTGGGGTAGTGCACACTTATCTGAAATATGGTCAGAGACTGTATAATGTATGTACAGGCAACCCATGGGAACTACGAGCTCAGAACAGCAGGAATGACGGTAACAGTAAAACACACCATGAAAATGCATCACACGTCAGAACTAGCAAGAGACATACATAAAATGAAGTATCAGTGTTATATTTTATGTTAAATGGTTATATCTCTTATCAACACTTTATTTTTAAGATTGCTTTGTTGTCTGTTACTATGACAACGCCCTGCAATAAATAAAGTTTCTCTGATTCTGATTCAACTTTATTCCGAGAGGCAGCGGCGCGTTGTCTGTCCAAACATGAACTTCTGCCAAACATATGTTACATATAAAGTCATTTAAAGGACAAAGGAGAAGCGATTTACTGATTTAGCCTCGTCTGGATGAAACTGTTGCATTTTACAGTATTAATAGTGACTGAAGTGCGGTCAGAGGAAAGGAGGCGCGTTGGTGTAATCCATCATTCTAACTTTTATGCATTTCTTAGGCACACATAACTTGTTTTTACGTCACCTTCAGGTGTCCCAGGACCTGCCCTTCCTTCACCCCAGTGAGACCAGTGTCCTCAACAGACTCTGTAAACTGGGCTCAGATTATATACGCTTTACAGAGTTTATAGAACAACACACGGGACATGTTCATCCACAAGTGAGTCCTAAAACATTTATACGTGATGATTTTTTTTCTTTTTGACTGCGTCTTAGACACAGTCTCATTGTTCAGTAATACGTCCCTGCTGTGCAGGAGCATCACAGCAGCCAGCCCAGCCAGACCGGGCTTCATGGGATTTACCTGCGGGCTTTCTGCACGGGGCTGGACTCCATGCTGCAGCCCTACAGGCAGGCCCTGCTGGACCTCGAACAGGAGGTAAAGTCAGGAAAGAGCCAAGAACAGCACCGCGTGTGAGACGAGGCTCATTTCACTCTCTTGTTTGTTTCAGTTCCTCGGAGATCCACATCTGACGATATCCCATGTTAACTACAAGCTTGATCAGGTAAAGACTAAAAAACACATGAAGATTTTCTTCTTAACTAAAATCTAATGCTGACTTGGTTTGTGTTTGTTTAGTTCCAGTTGCTGTTTCCATCTGTGATGGTGGTGGTCGAGACGATAAAGTCACAGAAGGTAAAGCAGAGACACATCATTACTGAATAAAGGAGAGACAGCAGCACTTCTCCAGCATCTGTTGTTCACTGAAAGTCAAAGAAATGAATACTCTTCTCTCTCTGTTTAGTAATGTAGCCTACCAGCATGTTTCCTATGGTATGGTCCATAATAGAATGGATAAATGTGTTGTTATCGTCATGAAAATGGACCTTCAGATGAGCGCTTGGTCACCGTACAGTGAGATGCTCTGTAATGCATCAGGAGGGCCTGGCGTGTTGTAAATACCTCGTGTGTCTGCTGAATTAGATCCACGGCTGCCAGATCCTGGAGACAGTGTACAAGCACAGCTGTGGGGGGCTACCTCCGGTACGCATGGCCTTGGAAAAGTAAGTCTATGTTTATCACAGTTTTAGCGTTGGCGTAATAATACATACGTTATCCTGCCACAGAGACTGTGTGTAACCCTGTGTGGGTGTTTCCTTCATGAGCTAAACATAAACTCATTTATCCCAGCGAGCTATTCAAATTCATAGATGCTCTTTCCTCATGACCTCGACCCGTGTTTTGATTGCTTATTCATGTGAGAGTTTGTCACCTCTCCAAACTACAAAGGACAAAGCACGTGAACTTCATTAACCCGTGGACTGTTTTTAATGCCTAGTTGTCATTGTGGTGTTGATTGTATTATGGTGCCACGCTTTGAAGGGTTTTCTACAGTGAGTTCAGTACTTCCTCTAATAATCGTTCGTTTTGAAGGTTCATGTGTGCAACAGTAGAGCTGATGTTAAAGACAGATTCAAGTTCCTGAAAGCTGAAGCAGAAGTGCTTTGGATCACCTTCATAAACACTTCACTGGTTACTTTATGGTCTCAATCACCAGCTTCAGGTTTGTTTAGCAGGATTCTGTGAATCATGTCTTCACGTACACTAAACATGTTACACTTTAAGGCGTGGCTGCTGTCTGCACATTCTTCTCTTTCTCAGTCAAATTTAGTTTTATTTATATAGCACCAACGCCTCAGGTGCTTTATACTGTAAGGTAGAGAAACTCTGACAATCATATGACCCCCTATGAGCAAGCACTTTGGCGACAGTGGAAAAGAAAAACGCCCTTTTAACAGGAAGAAACCTGCAGCAGAAGCAGGCTCAGGGAGACCAAAGACACACAGAGATGAACACTAACACACAGTGTGAGGATAGAACTGGACGTGGTGTAGTTGTCCATTGCTGCTGTTTCTAAAATAACGTTTTGTGGATGTGCATAAATGTACATTGTCTTGCATGACAGCACGTGGCATAGAATCAGTAGGATGTTTATACTTTCTTATCATTGAACACTGATATCAGCTATCCTTTTGTTTTTTTGAATGTGCAGGATTTTGGCCGTGTGCCACGGTGTGATGTACAAGCAGCTGGCAGCTTGGATGCTGCACGGGCTGCTGCTGGACCAAAGCGAGGAGTTTTTTGTGAAGCAGGGTCCCAGTGCTGGAGGAGCTGCTGCCAACCAAGAGGAGGAAGAAGAAGACCTGGGACTCGGAGGCTTGAGCGGGAAGCAGCTCCGAGAATTACAGGACCTGGTGAGTGGCACGCACGGACGTGCATCCAGCGCTGAACTGCGAGTGTCTTTTAATGTCGGTGTGTGCTGTTGTGCAGAGGCTCATCGAGGAGGAGAACATGCTGGCTCCATCTCTGCAGCAGTTCTCCCTGCGCACAGAGATGCTGCCTTCTTACATCCCCATCCGAGTGGCCGAGAAAATCCTCTTTGTGGGAGAATCTGTCCAGATGTTTGAAAACCACAACCACAGCCCATCCAGAGCTGGTACTGGGAGCTTCTGTTGTAACCTATTGGAGTGGGACCTCTTCTTTTTGTGTGTCTGGAACAACCCAACATGTTTCCTTTGTATTTTCAGGCTCTATACTGAAACACCAGGAAGACATGTTTGCTGCTGAGCTGCATCGACTCAAACAGCAGACGCTTTTCAGCCTGGTGGATTTTGAGAATTTGATCGATCGCATAAGGAGCACAGTGGCAGAGGTGAGCTCATCAGGGACAGCATCATTTTTAGCATTAAAGAAGGAAAACTAGCGAGCTGCTTTTACAAAGCCCTCATGCTGTCTTACTGATTTGCAGCACCTCTGGACTCTAATGGTGGAAGAGGCAGATCTGCTTGAGCAGCTCAAGGTTTGTCCTCATCGCCCTTGGTTCTGCATCATAAATCAGCGTGAAATGAACCGTGCTGATGTTTGTGTTTTCTTTGTTCCCAGATCATTAAGGACTTCTACCTCCTGGGTCGCGGAGAGCTCTACCAGGTTTTTATTGACCTGGCGCAGCACATGCTGAAGACTCCTCCGACGGCTGTCACCGAGCACGGTAAATATTCTCAAACAGCTTCCCCTCTCTGCTTATTTGTTCACAGGTAAGTTACACAGTTAAACACAGTATGCAGCTGTTTGTCATGATGTGTTCACGTCTTTCGTGCCGTGCTGCATGCCAAAAAAAAAAGAAGAAAAATCTTAATGATAAAACAAAACATTTGCAAGAAACAGACACATGACTTGAAATCTGTGCAGGTTCTGTGTCTCTGCTCATAAAGCAGCATTAAGGTAAAAGCACACTCAAGGTCAAAGCTCTTGCAGCGTCATATCATGTGATTTCTTTTGCACAGATGTAAACGTAGCCTTCCAGCAGGCAGCTCATAAGGTGCTGCTGGACGATGACAACCTCCTGCCTCTGCTGCACCTCACCGTGGACTACCAGGGCAAAGACGGCAAAGGTGGGCTCACTGGGTCACAGTGCAACCTTTGTTTAGGAGCCCCACTCCTGATGTCGTAAAACTCGGCCTGTGGCGGGTGGCGCCCTCTGCTGGCCGAAACTGTTTTTTCCAAATGAAGCCTTCATGCTTTGTCATCAGGTTAAAGCTGTATGTCTACAGCTGCATCATCTGTCCAGTCTTTTATTACAGTTAATACAAAGAATTTATACTGTGACACAGCTACAGTTACTGATCAGATGTCAGATACCCTTATGGTGTACAGGACAACGTGTATATTTTGGCCTATTTTTGAAGTCACAGCAGAATAAACAGAAACGTGGATCACAGAGTGAATGAAACACAGAAGTACAAAGTTCTCGTTTCACTGAAGGTTCGATATCCCAGCTGTTGGGGCTAAAACATTCAAACAAAGGGAAAACCAGCATCCTGCCCTGCAGATGCATTTCAGATACAACATTCTTATTGTTGTGATTGAGGCCAGTGTGAAGACGAGGTTTGGAGAACTTTGATTAAAATAGGAGAGGTTCTTTTTAGATACCTACATTCAAACCGTCAACATGTCATATTTATCATTAATCACAGTCATCCCTAAATGTAAGTTCATATAGGCTGAGAGAGAGCTGTTAGTCATTCCAGTATAAAAGCATGTAAAAGGAACAATTAGTCATTTATTTTATTTTAAATATCAGAGTCAGTGTTAAGAGACTGTTAACAGGACTAATCTACATACAAACAAGTATTTATTTATTTATGAAGCACTTAAATCAAACGCTACATATCAGATGTGTGTTTCGCCACACCATAAACTGCAGACTTCAGGTTTTAAACCCTCCTCACACACACTCTTACAGACAGTATTCACCTGGTGTACTTACACCTGTTATCTCGAGCTGATGGTTGGTTACTGTGCCTGCTTTCTCAGATGCGTCACTCCCCAGAGAAGGAGCCACTCCTCCACAAGACACTTCCCCTCGCGAGGTTCCTCCCACAGGCTGGGCAGCCCTCGGTCTCACCTACAAGGTCCAGTGGCCGCTGCACATCCTCTTCACTCCTGCTGTGCTGGAGAAGTGCGTGTTTGCACCCCTTACTGCAGCTTTGATGTGTTTAGTCCCAGTGCATCCAGTCACCGTCCTCTCCTCGTGTGTGTGGTCAGGTACAATGTTGTGTTCAGGTACCTGCTGAGCGTGAGGCGGGTGCAGTCACAGCTGCAGCACTGCTGGGCTCTGCAGATGCAGAGGAAACACCTGAAGTCCAGCCAGACGGACGCTGTGAAGTGGAGGCTACGCAACCACATGGCCTTCTTGATCGACAACTTGCAGTATTATTTGCAGGTAACAATGCAGCCGAGAATTTTAAACTACCAGCGCACAAGATTATCATTTAATGACTTTTGCAAAAGGTTTTAGGTGCCATCAAAGACTTTCCAGCTCAGGGTCTGAGAGATTTAACCAGTTCTCCCATATCCTACTTAAAAATTGACTTGTGGCTAAATTAAATGACATTTCCAAGTCTGATGCAATCAGTCTCCATTCCAACTCAAGCCGATGTTAAAAACCATCATAGGAATAATAATTCAAGGAAAAAAGAATCACGTGCTGTTTGAATTATTTAAACTGCAGGTGGATGTGCTGGAGTCTCAGTTCTCTCAGCTGCTTCAGCAGATCAACTCCACCAGAGACTTCGAGAGCATCCGACTGGCCCACGATCATTTCCTCAGTAACCTGCTGGCCCAGTCCTTCATCCTCCTGAAGCCGGTATGAGACGCCAAACAGAAATGATGCTCAGCTGCTACATTTCACCCTCCTTACCTGAGGCCGCTCTGCTCACCTACTCTCACTTTCAGGTGTTTCACTGCCTCAACGAGATCCTCGAGCTGTGCCATAACTTCTGCTCTCTGGTCAGTCAGACTGTGGTTTCACTGGACGACAGGGGAACCGCTCAGCTCGATCTGCTAGTCAAGGTAGTGAATACACACCTTTTTTTCCTCTGTCTGAACCTGTAAAGAGATTTTTGTAATGCCAACTCTGTCAAATTTCAGGGCTTCAGACGCCAGTCATCCCTCCTGTTCAAAATTCTGTCGAGTGTTAGGAACCATCAGATAAACTCTGATCTGGCTCAGCTGTTGCTGCGACTGGACTACAACAAATACTACACCCAAGCTGGAGGCACACTGGGCAGGTAGGACCAGTGTGATCGTCATCTATAGCACATGTCCAGGTGCAGAAAAATTCAACAGACGGTCATCATGTACCACGGTTAATCTAAAATATACACTTCCTGCTTTTTTCAGTGTTTAAGAAGAGCGCACAGGAAGTTATTTAACCTGCAGAAGAGACTCCCATCAGTGTTCTCCACCGGCTTCACCGAATCTTTGAACAGCCAAATTACAATGATCACTTTCACTGTAGTAATACTGAACTGAGCAGATAGTTTGGGTTTGTTTTACATGCAGAGATGATCAAACTGCTCTGAAGTTAACATGAGAAGCAAGAAAAATGAACGTCGCTGTTTTTGTAGAGCTCACTGCATCAAAAAAAGACATTTACATGTAAGAGAAAGTCTTAACTTGAGTGGAAGTAGTTCAGTGTGGCCCAAACAACCAAAGGAAAAGTCTGTTTGTTCCCTTTGTCGATGAGATCGTGGAGAACAGTCTGATCTTTGTTTGATAAAAGTGCAGAATTGATGTAAAAGATGAGATTGTGACATCACCTGGTTTCTGGATTTGAAATGACCACATACCATATATCTGAACAAGCAAGGTCCTATTTGTGAAAGCAGTAGGTAGCCCTGAACAGACGGGTAAGACAGTTGTCAAAAATAAAAAAAACGAGTGCTTTTTAAACCATCAGATCTCTGTAAATGCGTGTAGCCATGGCGACACTTTGCTATGCATCTATTCTAATTGACAGATTAGCATCCTACACTGGCAGCTGCCAGTGTAGGATGCTAATCTTTATGTTTAGCTTGGCCTAAAGCACAGACATGGATTCAATGTGCAGCCTGTCATCGAACTACGCTGGATCATGGAGGCAGAGCTCACAGAAGCACTGCTGGATGTAACGTGGGTGAATCCTCCCTTTGACTCTTGTATAAACTGTAAATATTAACGGCTTGTTGCGTGTACCATTTTGTGTGGAGAAAATAAACATCAATGCATTAAAATGAAACAAGGGTCACAATTTATTATCTCATAAAAACGGACAGGATCAAGTTATATACAGCAGAAGCATGCAACAGAACTAACGCTCAACATTTAGCTTGGTCAAAGGCATTTTGCACGTGGGGTCAGATTATGAGGACGACGAGGACGAGGAATAGTCGTGGCAAAACTGAGGCTTGCAATCGAAAGCCAGGCGCTCCCCGCAGATGAGACTCTGGATGAGCCACTCCGGAGACACCAGCGGGATTTCCTGTGATGTTGCGCTTTTCTCGAGCAGCGGCGGACAGGCATGGTCTGTCACCACGAGGTCATACTTGCCAGCAGGAATGTCTAAGGATGGAGCGGGAAAGTGAACGCATTAGTTTCAGCACAGCAGCGAGACAGGGTGCATTGTTTGGACATCACTGTGTGGATCCTGTACCAGAGTCGTCTTTGTCTGCTTGGAACTGCCGGACGGAGGAGCCTCCACCCATGGTAATCAGCTGGGCCCAGAGTTCCACCGGCTTCTCAAACACCAGAAGAGCCCGCAGGCCTTTGAAGGGGCTGCAGCGAGGATGCCTGAGAGACAAACAGAAAAGATCAGAAAGAACAAAGGCTCTGTGACTTATAAACAAGAACACTTTGGTTTATTCCACATGGAAATATCTTAAAGTACCATCATAAAACAATGTCACAGCAGATGACATCACAGCAGATGACATCACTGAATCAGCTGGGATTCTTACACCTCTGACCTCGTGAGGACGAGGAACAGTAGGAGAAACCAGAATTTTATCAGCACGTTTTCACACTGGTTTCCATTCTGAAGTAACATCCAGCTGTTACATTGTAGCAGACGAGACTTTTCCCCCCTAATGTGCTGAAATCTGCCACTTTACTGCTCACAAGGAAAGACGTTTATTAGAAGAGCAGAGATCAGCCATGTGATCCGTTTCATTTATTATACAAACAGGTCAAATGACGAGGTGGGTGGAGCTTGATTTTGCCTTTGAGTGTCAATTCCAATAAAGATTTTTCAAAAGAAGATGGTCATTTGACTTCTACACTGGTGTTAATTTGGACCAAGTCTGAATCCAAACTGCACTGCTGGCTTCATCAGTAAACTTACAGCATTTGGTGCCCACACGTGTTGTTTGGGGTGGATGTAGCTCAGGCGGGAGAGCAGGTCATCTACTGATCAGAAGGTTGGTGGTTCGATTCCTGGCTTCCCCTAGTCTGAATGCCAAATATCCTTGGGCACGATACTAACCCCAAATTGCTCTCTGATGCATGTGTGAATGTTAGAAAGCACTTAGAAAATGTGTGTGAATGGGTGAATGCACAAGTTGTGTAAAGTGCTCAGAAGAGTAGAAAAAGCGCTGTATAAGAACCAGTCCATTTACCATTTGGTTGTTTGTTGACTTTCATGTTCCCCCAATAAAAACAAATCTTGATGTGATGTGCAGCAGATGTGCTACATTTCATATGGAACCTTTTATTTTTGCACCGTACTGATAAATAAATCCCAAACAGAAAGCAGCCTCTCACCACTCCACTATGGCATCGTCCAGCCCCACGCCGGCAGGCAGCAGGTAGTTCCTGTAGTTGAGCAGTTTGTTTTCTTTGCAGCAGTCTCTCACCCATATGTGCGACACACACGGCACGCCGCTGGCTAAACACAGCAGGTACTTCCTGGTACGGCAGTGCTGGTCCGCGATGAGCAGGCTCTGGTAAGCTGCCTTACACTGAAAAGGGAATCAAACACACACTCATTTACTGCACTGCATCAGACTTTAGGTGATGTTCGTAACCACGGAGAAGACCACGTGCACATGACCAGCCACTGATAGTGCTTTGGTGAATACAGCCTGGAGCTGGACAGATTTATGGCACAGATATGTGTAACATAAACATATCTGTGCGATCACAGGCACATGCTAGTGTTTTCATTACTTACCTGTTCTTCATTGAAGTTTGGTAGGATGAAGCCTCCGCCCGCCTGCAGCTGGGTTTCTGTGTATGACTTGTTATACGGACCCGTCTGCACATAATCTGAAGAGAAAAGCATGAAAGGAGGCAGGAAGAGTGTCAACAATTGTAATTAGGGCTGGGTCCAGTGTGTAGTTAGCCAGCTGCACATACTCTCATGTTTCCAGTGGTGAATGTTCATATTAAACAAAGCCAGTTTCACATAATGAAATAAGTCTGTGCAAAACGCTCGGGATGCTCTGAACACCCACTTTCAGAGTGTTTTTCTCAGAGTGGATAATTATGTTCCCCTCATCTGTCTGTGAGGCAGCTAAGCAGAAGAAAGCTGCCTGGAGCTGCAGCTGAAACAGACGGTTTCAGACAGAGGATGAACTGAGGAGCTGCACCGAGGTCAGCATAGGACGAGGATTACTTTCAGCTGTGAACCATGTAAACCACAATCAGCCCCCTTTAATATCCCGAGATGCACCTGGCTGCACATTATATGCATTTTGTCATTGTTAGTTCATTGTAGCTTATTCGTGGTTGTTTTGATGTTCCAATACTTTTTGGAAATACACAAAAACATTACTTTGAGTGTTTGGTGTGTTAGCTACCACGAACATTTCTGCAAACCGTGGAGAAAACCGTTTGTGCAGGTCATCACATTTTTTCTGATAATGTGGAGTCCTGTTCAGTTCGACAGTATTTATATTGCACCAAACAATGACAACAGTCGCCTCAATTTTCTTTATATTGTAAGATAAAGACCCCACAAAACTAGAGACAAAACCCAAACTATCAGACACTTGGCAACAGTGGGAAGGAAGAACCCTCCGCCAGCACCATGACCATTTGGGGGTGAGGGGCACCAGCACCACATAGTGGGAAAGAGGTAATTATGGCCCAGAAATCAGCACCACAAAATGATGGGCTAAACTAGACCCAGTGGTGCTACTGGAAGAAGTTTTACTCGCTGTAGTTGAAACTGTGATTCTCCCACAGTGGGAACGAGCCCGATAAGCAAGTTTATGCACCAAATGCTTCTCAAACATGTGGAAACATATAGTGTTATTAAATGCACGATCACTGGGGAAAAGCAGTAAGAGTGAGTGTTCATGTTCATCTGTCCAGGCACATGTATGTGATGATATCACTGCTTCATCAGTGAGCAACACTGCCGCCCTGTCGACAGCTACGTTTGGGCTTCCAGACAAATCTTTATGCAACATTAGTGTTTATGTGACATAACTGAAGGCTCAACTCTGGGCTTTGTCAAAATCAAATCTGGAGGTACTGAAGCAGAATCTGTCTCACCCTCCTCATCCTCGCTCGTGAGCTTGTTGGTCAGGCGGTCGGTCTCAGACGACGCGGTCAGCATGAAAGCGAAGCCCATAAAGAGGGACGTGTTCTGGGGCAGCGGACCGTGAGAGTCTTCCACGTCCCCAGACTGACCCGGGACATCGGTGCCACTGCCCGAGGTATTGCACACACCGACCCGCTGAGCTGAGGACGCAAACACACGCAGGACTTAGAGGTTAAAGACGGGGAACAGTGCTGCACTTTCTTTAAAGGACGAGTTCACCCAAAGCCACAATAAAGCAGTTTCTCACTTATTTTAACCATGGAGATAGTTTCTGATGTATTGTTGTGACGTGTGGAAGAGTTCCTGCCCAGAGAATAAAGCAGGAGTGTAACAGCAGCATCACTCCTGACAGCACGGGAAATAACACACCCACGGTGGGCGCACAGAGCTCAGAGAAACTGTTTCTGTGATGTGGCTGAACTCGCCTTCCCAACGTCAAACAGAACAGCTGTGCTCACATAATGCACCCGTGAAATCCACTTCCCTTCCCCTCCACCCGTGAAGAACACCACGCTAAAACTGCGAGTGGATTATTCATTACCGGGTCGGTCTCAGCAGCAGAGGACGCACACAGGCCGCAGACACAGGTCTTCATTATGCTCAGTACAAAAATGGCATATTACTGATTTCACATGAACAACAACCTGAATCAAGTCTGCATCAGGACGAATAAAACAGTTTATAACACACAATCATTAAAAGTCATCTTAAAACTGTTAAAAATCAGCTGCTAATCATCAACAGTCCATTAAAACCAGTTTGCATCGCGTTTAAAATCACAACTTTAAAATTCAAAGTTAACTGCAATACCATAAATATATGACATTAACCCCAACAAAACACACACACACACACACACACACAGCCATGGTCACGGCGAGTCGGTCTTCGTACCAGCTCTGGCCCCCGCCCCCCTGCGCCCTCTCTTGGCCGGCCCCTGGTTGTCCTCTGAGGCAATCAGCTTCCTCTTGCTGGAGGTTCCCGGGGAGCGAGGGCTGTTGGAGGAGCTGCGGTTGGGAGTGTTCTGACCTCCAGGGGTTCCTCTGCGTCTCCTCTTCCCCTCAACCAAGTTATCTGAGGACAATAATAAATATCAGCAAACTGAAGGGAACACTCAGCTTGACACAGTAGCATATATTAGGTTTAAACACTGGTCTCACTATAGGTCTCAGTGTATCTGAAGAGCTGGACGACGTCTGTCTGCTGATGATGCTTTGGACACTAATATGAGCTGTAGGATGACACAGGTAGTCTTTACTCTCGGGAGCAATAACACAGGAGGAGTCTGGCGCAGGAACAGAGCTTCTGTATTAGACGGCCACGCCTGCTTCCAGAGCAAATCTTTGTACGTCATCTGTCTCCTGAACAATTAACCCTGATCTCATCATAACTTACACAGCCAGCATAATCTTAATCGTCATGTTTTGAATGGTGAACCCAAGCCTTAAATGACAGAGGGCGGAGCAAAGGGCAAACACACGTGTCTGATCAGAGGATGGTGGTTTTGTTTGTTGCTGTGGGTTTTATTAAATACAGCTGCTGCAGAAAACGATCACTGTTAGGAAGGTTCAGTGTGCCGAGGAAACGCTGCTCTGGTCTCATTTTTCAGTGCAGCTGTATCAGCGGGCACGAATGAAAGGCGCCATCGAGCACTCCTGATGGCGTTCTGTACGTTCTACCATTATATTAAACCAGGGCTCTCAAAGGTGCCTTTAAGCTGAGTTCAGGATGATGCGTGAACACTCCAAACAGGCTCACAGCCCCCTGAAGCAAACCAAGCTCTTCCTAGTGAATTCTTTAGACAGAGTGCTACATGTATGCAGGACTTCTTCCCAGCTCTCTGAGCCTGCCGTCTACATACTACTGCATTTGCCTGCTGGGACAAACACACAGACTTCCTGTAGTTGCTGCCTCTAAGCATTAAAATAAGTGAGGAACCTCTAAGGCTGCATATCTGAGTAAAAAACTAAGAATGGGACCTCGTCCTTTTATAATGACCCTGTGCTGACCAGACTGTCATCACAGAGGAACGCACGGGCCAGAAGACAGAAGAAGATGCTAACACTGGCTCCACACCATACTGTGTACTGTAACAAACACACTATAACATGCATGTTATTGGTTCCTTCTGTCTCCATCATCGATAAGAATGATTGGCTTTGAAAAGCTCTAAAAACAGTGAGAGCTGCGATCAGAGGAACAGACGCATCAGTCGAGAAGAGGATCAGAAGGAACCTGGTTAAACTCAGGCTGAACTTTCTATTGGTCTGTTTCAAAGAGTTTGACCTGTTTAAGGAGGACTGTAGGTGAAAATAAAATCCGTCTTGTCGAGGTTTAAAACAGTTAAGCACAGTCACGGGCAGAGGCGGTACCACAGCCGTGTGGGTCCATCCTCAGCTCTGCGGCTGCCTCACCCAGACTGATGTCGGAGGCCTTGGCCAGGGGAGTGGTGGGCTCGTAGGGCCCGAGGCTGTGCTGCTCCCTCAGCTTGTTTCCCTGCTCCAGCGACAGGATGACCGATGTCCTGTTGTACCACTGCCTCCGACCCTCCTTCTCCACGCTGTAAAACAGCTCCTGGCCCTCTGTTTTATGGCCCTTAACGACACCTGCACAAACACAAGAACCATCGGTCCTGCATGTTTTAGTCTTTCATGCAACGACCACAGAAACAGTCAGAGCTGATGTCACTGTTAAATCTCCTCAGTCTAAACCAGGTCGAAGGAAAGGACAAAAAACAAAATCACCACAGCGATCTTACTAAACTACGCGCGGTCACTTCCTCACCTATACTGAAGTACTCGTCTTCCAGCAGAGCAGTGACCTCCGTCTCCAGTGGGATGGGATCACACAGCAGGATATCCTTCCCGGCAACCTCACACTCGTAGCCATCGTCAAACCGCAAGCGGAATCTCCCCTCGCCGGCGTCTTTGATGATGCGACCAGAGTAGAAGTAACCATTGGATGACCACTTAGCCACCACCCGCAGGCCGATGAAGCTGCTCCCGGCTGAGCTCGCCGCCTCTGGCGAAGACCTGAGGGAGTCCGAGTGGCTGGGAAGCTCGGGGTCCGTGGGGCTGACGGGGAGCACGCGGCTGTACGGCTCATCTTCTGAGGACGACTGTGGCTGGCCCTGAGCCGTCAGTCTCTGCAGCGAGCCACCGCCTCCTCCCCTTTGAGAGAGAACAGTCTCGTATAAAAGGCCTGTGTTGTCCCTATCCAAGCAGAGATGGAAGACATTCCACAGATTCATGGAATTTTAATGGAATCAGTGAATATCCTTTAGCTTTAACAGTACGCACAGTGCTGTTTTGGACCTGCTATGTCAAAATAATCCTTATTTGTTGAAACAAACCACGAGTATCTTTAAAGCAGCTTTTATCCAGCTGGAGGTTAGCAGACAAACTAGCTTTCTGTCCCGTACCTCAACTAAAGCTTACAGTCTAATCTGCTGCTGTCTGTGTGGCATGGGAGCACTTCAAGAGCATCAGCTACAAACTCTGCAAATGTGATAACACGCAGCACCCCATCTAGCCCCAGATTAACTACGCAGGGTAAATCTGCACGAGGCAGGTTCACGGCGATGCAAGCCGTGGACCTGAATAAGGTTTGAGTGAGAAGAAAATGAGTAAGAAAAGGAAAAAGTGTTATTAAGGTCGTGCAGCTGGCGAGGGCTCAGAGTGTTTCCTGTCCATGGTTTCTGTAAGTGCAGAGCGAGCCTCAGAGAGGACTCACCTGGACAGGGAGGAGCGGGACGGGGGTCGGCCCCTTCTAGCCCTTCCTCTGGGGGTCAGCGGGACGAAGGCCCGGGACCCCAGCGTGCTGTAGCCTCTGTTCAGTGTGACCACTGACCCTGCCCTGTGACCCCTGTGACCCCTCTGTTGATGCCCACCTCCCCTCCTTGGACTGCAGACACACAGAGGGGACGAATGGAGCCGGTCAGGTTGCACAGGCACCGATCTGGGGACACTTTGAAAAGTCACCTCACTGACAAGTGAGAGCTGTGCAGCGACCCCAGATCTACACCTGTGACAACACGGACCTGTCGCAGGCAGGGATCAGTGAATCACTGAGAAATCAGGGTGTTAGAGTCACAGCAGGTGAAGAAGTGACACAGCATGCAACTAGTGCAGAGAGAAAGAGCAGGAAGGTTGAGGAGAAACGGTAAGAACTTTGGGACGGTGGAGGATGAGGAGTTACCTCGTGGATTTGAACCCTCTGCTCGCTGGAATGATGAAGTCTGGTCTGGTGAGGCCCATACTGCTGCTGGTTCCCCCGGAACTGTGCTGCAGGCTGGACGCTTTGGACGAAAGCGAGCTGATGTCCCCCAGATCACCAGAGGTCACAGAACTGCTGCCTGTGCGGCACGGAGAGATGTCGCTGTCCAAGACCTGACAGTCCACCACGGGCTCCTCGCTCTCCTGGACACGTCGGGCAGTGACACGAACACGTTAAACAGCCAAAGTCCATAAATACATTTTCCTTTAAAAACAAAGAGGCCTGATAGTGAAAGAACCACGGATGTCTGCACAGGATTGCATGGCAGTCAATGCTTTCCTTCTCGTTCTGGAGGCTGCAGCTCGTGCTCATGCACACTCAGACCCATGTGATTTTTTAAGAAATGAATATTCAGCAGAAATTAAACGAACACTGTGTTTGGACAAATGATGCAGATTTTAAATCACGGTGATGTTTCTTGATAAAACCACATAACTGTGATTTGCACAGCAGTGCTGCTCTCTGAACTGTGCAGAGGAGGATTGCATGAACTTACAGCCCTGACATGTTCTGACAGACAGCAAATACAAAAACACAGGCTCCAGGAATCAGACCCAGAGACAGTTACCTCGGTGACTTTGCGATCCACCTCTTTGCCGTCCTCATAATACACGTCGGTAATGATCCGAGTGACGGTGGTCCGCACTTCCTGGATGGTGCGCACGTGTCTGCGGTGAGAGGGAACGGCGGTTCTTCTAAAGGACGGGGACTCGGGTTCACCCTTTCAATACAAAAGAAATTGAAGAATGACAAATGAACGATAGAAACGCGTGGTTGATCTCTTCGTCCAAAGAGACTCAGTGTGCGTACCCGGCCAGCTGGGGAGCGAAACCCCGCTGCATCGAAGCCGGTCTGCTGGGAGACTGTCCGCTGGCATGTCTGAGCACACAGGACAGACTGATTAATATCACAATAACATCAAATATGATGGAGACCACATTTTTATTCAACTCTGCATCACTGATCCTGAGTCGCATACCTTGCTGGGCGGTGTGGAGGTGATGGTGTTCTCAGAGGCCGGCTGGGAAACCACCTTCTGCCTGACTGTTGTGCTGCTCGGGGAGGTCGGCTCTTGAGCATCAGGCAGTCCTCTGCTGTCCTCAGGCGGCTCAGCGGGGGCGAGCGCATCCCGCAGGTCCTGCTGCGGCGCGGTCGATACATCCTGGCTGTTCGGCAGACTGTTGCATTTCGATACGGACGCCTGAGAGCTCCTCTGTGGTGAGGCGAACAGTTCCCCCCTGGAAAAGACGGTACATAACTATGGAGCATCTTACCAGTGATCAAATTACAGGTCAGCAATCCCAACGAGAACCTTTCTACTTTTAAACATTCATGTTTAGCTTTTCTAGTGGTTAGTTAGTCCAGCAACAACCACAAAATACTTCTGTTCACTGCTTTTCACAGATTTGCTGAAAACCTGTTTGTACCAAAGGCTCCAAAAGCAGTGTCACACACCAAATCGTTACCTTTACTTTCCAAAGGTAAACACATGGCATGGACGCGTCTTTTCTTAATCAGTCGACTGATAACGAGTCAGAGCAGCCCTAATGTTTCCACAAAGGATCACAGCAGTGTGGCTGTTCCACTACGTTTGCAGAGAACATTCAGCACAATGACCCAACTTTGTCACACCTTACCACTCTCCATGTCCTGAGAGAATACGCACCAAGTAGAAAAAATAACCACCCAATCTCCTCTGGAAACAAAGTAGGTCTCACTGTCACATGCACACGCAGGCTCACAGCACGAAGCCTATTTCTGTCCTAACACACACTACATCAGGGGACAAATCCCAGGGTCAGACAGACATGTGAAGGACGATTTATAAAGTGGGAACAGATAGTGTCAGGATGACACAGGACAGCCAGTGTGGTGAATGCTGTCATGTGCATGTGCTAACATTAACACTGGGCAAATCACAGGCTCAAAATGCTAACAAAAGTGGGACAACACTGCTGTGAGCGTGTGGCAGGCTTTTCCCTGCGGACCTTCATGCCTGCAGTGCAAAGTCACAACATTTATCCAGACATATGAACCTGTAATGGCATTCCTTATTGACAAGCACAGTGAAAGGCTTAAACAGTGTCAATCTTTATGCATTTATCTGCCTCTGTGAAACTATGATGTGAGCTTACCTGACCAGTGTAGTGTTTTCTCCAGGCTGGCTGTCCTCCTCCACCTCCTGCTGTCGGTGCACCTGCCTGACCCGAGTGAACACCGACGGGCTGCTGGAACGTCAACAATGGAACAACAAACCTTTAAAGTTTTATCCTCACGCGCCGTAGCTCAAAGAAAACGATTTCTTTAACATAGTAAGCAAACCAACATGCCTGATATCCAGTCACTGCACTGCACACTACCTGCATGCTTACAGTCTAGCAAATGAGTATGTACAGTACATGCACTTAAATCTACCCATGCATATATCCATTACACCAGGGGTGTCGAACTCCAGGCTGGAGGGTCAGTGTCCAGCAGGTTTTAGATCTCACCCTGGGTCAACACACCTGAACCCGATGAGTTCAGTACCAGGCCTCTGGAGAGCATCAAGACATGTTGAGGAGGTCATTTAGCCATTTAAATCAGCTGTGTTGGATCAAGGACACATCTACGACCTGCAGGGCCCTCGAGGCCTGGAGTTCAACACCTGTGCCTCACACTGACGGACTTTAGCCAACCTTAAGAAAACCTCATTAATGTTACTTTTGCATCCCAGCTTTAAGGAAAGTGAGCTTCAGCAGCCCCACTAGTTCAGAGACTCATCACTCATGAAGAAAGCAAGACAACGACGGAACGGAGGCTGGTCGGAACCAGGCTGTTGGAGCTGAACGCTCCTCACCCGTTTCCTAGCCAACCTCGAATAAACAGCCTTTTATTCTGAGAATACATACAGCACCGCATTGTAAAAAAAATCCTAATGTGCTCGAGTAAGAAGTGTTGATTGAACACGTGGTGTGATTGTCTGAGGTAATTGTGTGTGCGTGGTGTGTTTGTGTGTGTGTGTGTGTGTGTGTGTGTGTGTGTGTGTGCGTGTGTGTGAGTCTGTGCTCTGTGCCAACGGCCACAATGTGCCGAATATATGCTTACAACTGTGTAACCACATTTCCTGGTTATCTAAAGGTCATCTCCCCACACCCATATACGGCTTAACTCTAATGGTTCACCATATGCAAGCATAGGCGAGCCCCTAAATGACCGGGGGTGGACATCCCTCAGAAGATAAGGAAACCAGAATGTCACGTGGAATGTGCCTGCAGTTAAACAGCTAATTACCTCCCACAGCATCACAGATGTGTCGGGGAGGAGCAGAAGAATATCCAACCATGCAGTTTAAGGCACGGTTTCCAAATTTAAGTACAACAATGGCAACATTTAACAATTTGAATCCAACATAAAGTTTTGGTGCATACTTTTAACAAAGTACTAAGTTAAAAATGTTATTTAGAGTTCAATCAATACGACGTGAGCACCTCAAAACCTCAAACGACACTGGGAGATGACACAGAGACAGCATGCACAAGTGGATTAGACTGAAATGAGAAGAAGACGAAAAATAAAAGAATTTAATTAACGTGCTGAGAGAGCGCCAACTTACCTGGTTACAGCCTGGGAAACGGTCGTAACCTTGGTGACAGATCCATCCTCTTCTGGTGGCGTCGGCTCTGGGGAAAGAAATGCATCGCTGAGCGTGCGGCAGCGAGACACTTTTTCACAAACAGCGTGGAAGGAGTTCTTACTCTGCAGGCTGAAACGCTCCGAGCTGCCCTCCTCAACGGGCGTCACCAGCTTCATCCTCAAGCTCAGCTTCCCGTCACCTTTGTCAGCTGCGTCACCGCCACTTCCACCCAAAACGATATCGCTGCTGGCCATCACCACGTCTGCAGAGACGTCACCCACTGCATCCGACTTTTCAGAAAAAGAGCTGATCTCTGGAGGAGGGAAAAAATAATATTACTAGGACCGTGTTATGTTCTTTGGCTTTTGGTGAACCGGTGTGATGCCACTCACCGATGGGAGTGCTGTGTCTCAGCGTCTGCTTCAGCTGGTTGATCAGCGGTGGCGTGGCGCCGACAACAGGTCCAATCAAGTCTCCTTCTTTAGGAAGGGTGAAGTGGAATGAAATGTCTGTAGCAGAAACACATGAGTGGAATCAGGTTAAAGACAAAGATAAAGTAATTCAACCTTTAAAACAGGCCTTTCAGTTCTTTCTAACAGACACTACTGGGTTTTGGGTTTTTACTCTTTGGACACGACTCTCTGCTTACTCTGCAGAAAACACATCTTCAGAACGCTCACCTCCCGAGCTGTCGCTCAAGCTCTTTTCTTTGAGGGCCTCTGGTTCACAGCCCGCCCTCTCCGTCTGGGACAGCCTATCGGGAGCCGAGTGCGCCTCTTTCTCCTGAGTCTGGGATTCATGGCCATTGGTAGAGACTGACACTTGGCCTGTGATTGGTTGAGAACTGTGAGTCTTTGATTGTGACGCCACCTCTTTCTCACTGTCTGTTACACAGAGGATGCTGTCCTCTGCCTTGTCCTCAATCTCCTCGTCCATGGGTTCAGGAGACAACAGCTGGCTCTGGGAGAGAACCAGACCCATTCCCGAGGTACCCTCGGCGTTCTCCACCTCCATCGCCACCTCCTGATCCTCCTCTTCACCTCGTTCGTGCATTGAGTTTTTGTCTGTTTGGCTGTTGCACCCCACCTCAGGCTGCGGCGACGACGATTCCACAAAGGGACTTTTTACAGTTCCTCCTGACACATCTGCATCCACAGCAGATGTTTGAGAAATCATAGACTGTGAAGGCAGGCTGCAGGGCGTAGCGTCTGAGGGAGTCTCCTGCACACAGCTTTTACCTGTCAGATCAGCAGAATCAAACTTTGGCTGTGAGCAAGACACCATGTCAGCACAGCCAGCATCTTTGCTGTCAGCCTTCACATCGTTTACATTCACATTTTGTACATTCAGAGAAACTGCTGATTTCTGGGCCAGATCGGTCGCTTCAGTCTCAGCACATTCAACGTGGCGCTTCGGTGATTCAGCAGAGGACAACACTTTGGAGCCGGCGGCGGCTTGTGACTCCGACGGGACGGCTTTACTCTCCTCTCTCTGATCGTGACGCGAAATCACAGAGTCGCTGGTGTCGACGGCAAGCGGCTCCTCCAGTTCCTCTATCTGAGTGGCTTGGCTGTCCTCCTCAGAGGTGAGCTGATGACAGCTGCTGTTCTCTGTGTTCACAGAGAGCTGCAAAGGCAAGGTGAAGGGAGCCGACTCAAGATGCTGAGACTCTGTCTCACAAGGCAACGACGCTGACTTTTCATGCGTCTGTGCATCCTGGCTCTGCGTCGGAACAAATACGTCCTAGAAACACAGAAAATCATCAGAGCTGCAGCTAAACGACACGTTTATTCACACACTGCATTAAGTCTATTTAACTATTCATTTTCTACGCATGCACCAACGCATTCACCAAAGTTTCAAAGTTAGTCTGCATTACTGTGCAAAACTTTTGAGTCACCCTTTATTTTTTTTATATTTTACCAGGAAAACTGGGAAGACATTTATCGACACGCGTGCAAACGTAGCACATATGAGGGAAGAAGAGCTTTTGCTTTATTTTACCAACACAGCCTCAGCTCTCTTAGGCATTCCTGCTTTTTCTAAGCAGTCTTCAGTACTACTTCTCCAGGTCTCTTTGGACATTGGCCGGGTTTGTTCTGCTTTCTGTCAAAGTGATCCCACACTGTGGTGAACTGTGGACTGGCAGTGTGCCTGGCTACACTGAAAAACCTGAAGCCACTGTCAGTCAGATGCTTTCCATGTTCATAATTCCACCTGGTTTGGCAAAATCCCTGAAACGCAGCCTCAAACCACGTCAGAGCCTCCACCCTGTTCTACAGGTGGCTGTAGGGTCACTGCACACCCTCGCTACACATTTACATTCATTTGAACCAGAAATTGTGCATTCGTCACTTTCCTGATTTTCAGCCCAGCCTCTGTGTAACTTGGCGTATCTCAGCCTTCCACTGAGACCGTTCCTGACGAGGCTTCACTGATCAGCCGGTGGATCTAACACAGAGTCACACGTGTCTCTTAGGTCCTGCGTCAGGCATCTTAAAACATGACTTTCAGATGTTCATCTGCTGCCGATAGTCTCAGACCTGCTGTCTCTTTTGTCCAGTTTCCTCAGATTATTTTTGGTGCACATCACGCTGGGACATGAAACTTGAAACAGACTGTTATCATTGGTATTCTTCATAGACTCAACAAAAGAAAATGATGGGAACACATTATGTGTTTCTGTGACAGACTTCTAATAACCAAGTGCCAAAAGATACAATAGACAACACTGGCTCACCTGTTAAGTTAGGAGCCTTTTATGCTTGAATTAATCATAGGTTAATGTTATGAACTAAAATGAGTGAAGGGAAGGAAAAAAACAAAAAACAAAACAGCAAATGTCCAAAGAAACCTTTGGACCTTTAGAACGTCTGGAAAACTGTCCAAAGCTACAAGAAGCTGTCTGCTTGAAAGAACAAGATATACAAAACCCAGATGACTCAAGACTTTTGCACAGTTATAAACCAGAGATTCAGCCTTTAAACTGGACGTTGCATGATGTGACTGAGAGGACATACTGCTCATCTGACACAGAAGCAAACTCTACCTGCTGCTCAAACTCTCTTTACGAGGGGCAGCCAATCAGACGAAAGCTGTTTACCACGTCTCCCTTCATTTCTGAGAGTGAAAGGAGGAGCGGCACAAAGACCCGGTGTAACAACCAGCAGCAGTCCTACACTGAAAGTAACGGTTCTCCTCCTCAGAGGAACAACTACAGTCAACATGGTTTTCTTTATAAGGGCACAAACAAAGTTGGTGCTGAAATCAATGAACTCTTCAACCAGCTGGTCAGCTGACCTACAGCCGACCACAACATCATCTGCTGATCATTTTTTATTGATTAGACAGGTCAAACAGTCTTTGTCACTGGGCCTAGCACTCTATCCTCTGACAATTTAATACATCACATATATAATCCATATTTTCTACTGGGAACATTTTAAATAGGCTGATGAAAGTAAAGAGTGAAGGACATACATGAGAGAACTCGGGCTGGGACGGTACAGAGAGAGTTCGCTCTAAAGCAAAACCAGGGGAACTTTGGGATATGGGAGTAGATGCAGATGGTTGTGGCTTGGGGGCGGCCTCGGTTTCCATTGGCTCGTCCTTTTCTCCTGCTCCCCTGTCATCCGGAGGCAGTGACGTATCCATTTGTGAATCAGCACCTGACAATGCAAAGGGACGTTAGCTTTATCCACCAGCTGATTCCATGTCTGAACCCAAACTGAGATAATAAAGCAGATCTACCATTTTCATCCTCTAGTTCGGTTGGTGAGCTGGGAACTATTAAAGGTGTATGGCTAAAGTTGTCTGGGGTGGGGGCGACATAATCAACAGAGCTCCTAGAGGGGAGAGAAAAAAGGACATCAGCTCATTTTTCAGGGATTTATTGTGTGTGAATGATGCAAGAGCAGCACGCCGCTTACTGGGACAGACTCTCCTGCACCAGTGTTCCCTGTCCCGATAGATGCAGCAGCTGTAGGGTGTGGGCGGGTGTGGAGGTGGGGTGACCCTGCTGCTCCGGCTCAGACACTGTACTGTCCACTGCAGCACCTGAAAGCAAAGAAGCAGTTTGAGTAATTTCAGATCATTTTCTGTTTGTACGAGAGAAACAAACCAGGACTGTTACTCACAGTGAAGGAAGCACAAACTGGGCTCCACACCTCTACTTTCAACAACTTCTCATACAGCGAGTTATTTTTTCACAGTTATTCTGATTTAAACACATACACGGGTTTATATGGGCCTGTCTACTAAGCCTCACCCTATGTTAGGACATAGGGTCCTATGTCCTAACATAGGACCCTATGTCCTAACACCAGCGTAGCTGTAAGGGCTTAGAGATCGCTGAAGACGACTAGAGCAAAGGAGGCTTTGCCATTCAGGGGCATGCTCACTGCGCCAACACGTTCCATGTGTTTGTGATTATTTGTGATTTAACAAAAAACAAACAACCACGTCAGGTGAAACCTTGTCCACGATGATTTCCCTGTAAACTCACTTTTACGCTACGTTCAACATCTGCTGGTTAGCTCGTCACTAACTTAACAGCAAAATGTAAGCAGGGCAAATCATTTAGGTACATAACTGAGTTATTGTGTCTCTTCCTCACAGTGAGGAACTTTCAAACACTCGTCCTCCAACAGCCCCTGGGTTACTATGTGTGAGGCAGTCAAAGAGCATACAGACATGTTTGGGTGTGGAAGGCGTGGAGTGAGATGAGAATGAATAAATAAGCAAAATACAACAGGAACTAAGACCCTTTTTTATAGTTAATGATTAAAAAATATTAAACTAAAAAAGACCTGCATTTTTAAATAATTTAAATTACAAGGCTGACACAGTACACCTCTGCCAAAATGTGTTTTTCAGTTATCCACAGCCCACCTGTTACAGAAATGAGACCTGAAAGGTTTGTCCAAATAGCGCTGACTGCCAGACGGCAACCTTCCAAAAAAAACGCCACAACTCACACTTAAGGCCAACATTTCTGATGTGACAGTTTGTCAGTGTGGTCTTAGACAATATGAAGGTGATGGGCTTAAAAAGACAACATGTGTAATCCTTCGAGTGCTACATGAATGTACCTGTCTTGTCAGCATCGAACAGGTCGTCCTGTGAGGACAGGATCTCACAGTCCTGCTGGTCCTGCTCAGCAGAGTCCTGCAGGTTCTGCGAGTGCAGCAGGACCTGGACACTCAGCTGCCTGCCTGACTGACCCAAAGACTCTGATGAGCTGCTGGAGCTCACCTCAGACCTGGAGAAGAAAAGAAATTTCAGTGCAAAGCCAAAACACAAACATCTAATGAATGCAGACTTTGAAAGGTCACATGGAGCTGCACCTCAACGCTTTGCTGTCCTGACTTTCTGAAGTCCTGGAACTGATGTTCTGCTCTGCTGGGAATGAAGAGAACATTGATTATTTTGTTTAACTTCATGGAGTCACTGGGAATGCTCTGATCGGAACAAGTAAAAATGCAATTATACCCAGCACCCCTCATTCTGCATCCAGAGATCAGGAACGCATTTCTGTTGCAACCATAGACTGTATATAAAGGATGGCAGCACACAAGGCAACATCAATCACCATGTTTGTGAATCCTGTGTCCAAGGCTCAACATAAGCATTTTGATCTCTGCTGTGTTGCTTATTTGAAAGCAGAAGTAGGGCTGTTTGCTTCGACCAATAACCATCACAATGTGTTTGTTCAATAACTGCAATTTCCACTATTTATGATTATTTAAAATCAAAATCAAAAAAGGGGTGACCATGGTGAGGAATGTAAGAGTCATCTGGACTTGATGCTGTTGACTGTAAAGCCCTTTTAGCAAGGGCAACCATCAGCTCCTGCTGGCCCAAAGTCTTCACCGTGGGATGCACGATGGTGTCAGGTGGGGTAAGGAGACGCACAGCAGGGGCCGAGGGAGCAATAAACAGCAAACAGCTGATCAACAGCAGAGTGACGTGTCACTGAAACCAGACCAGTTGGGCCACTAATGATCTTTCTACAGGTGCAATCAGTGAAATCTTTCACAACTTTTTCAACACAAGTCTTGTTGACTAACGACTGTGTGTCATCGTAGATACTGCTGAACTAAATCATGTGTGTATTTATGTTGAAGACGTGCAAATCGAATGGTTGTGCTTGATTTACCACAACACAAAAACAAGCATTTAGTAACAAAAAGTGAAAAAAGGACCCATTATCTTGTTTCCACTGGAAGCCAAAATCATGACATCAAAATTTAAACAAAGGCCCAGCGAGATCTAAAGTTGTAAGCTAACACATAAGGTGGCCAGCTTTGTTAGCAAATCACCTGTCCATGTATGAATCACAGTGAAATAGATGCCTGCTAATGAGTGCTATGAAGTGCTAATAAAATAGTATTTCACTCCTCCTTGGAGACACAGCCATCATTATTTTGTCAGATCATTTCATTAAGAGTGCAAAAAACAGCAAACAAACAACAACAGCACAAACACGGTCATGAACCTTAGTTATGCTGGTCGCATTAGCAGCCCAGCAGACAGATGTTAGTTGCAGCTGTTTGAAAAGCACAGCAGCTCTGCCTCCATGTTTTGCCTGTCAGAGGCACGCCACGAATACGAGGTAAACCAGAGCGTCACCGCCCCGACGCAGAGCGACAAGCAGCTGAATGCAATCCTTTATTAATGTGGATAATGACAGTGTAATACAGACACGTGGATAAAAGTCCTTATACCCAATTTGTTACATTTGTCTCCGTCTTCCTCCTGACTGTTCACAGCTTCCCCACACAGATCCTGAGTCTGAGAAAGCTCAAGAAAACCAAACTGAGAAGCTTCCCCTGAAACACAACACAACCCGTAGCAGTTACTTCCAAGCACGACATCAAACAGACCGGCAGATGCTTTTGGAACTTAATGTGTTGGAAAAATGCGTACCTTCAGACTGAATACAGTGTGTAGTAGAATCAGCACCGGAATCCATGTCAGCGTCCTCTGGTACACACCTGAAAAATAAAGTGAAACCTTCCATTGCCATCTGACCCTGACCACAATCAAACTGCAAAAGTGGACAAATCAAACACACTTTTTGTTGTTTGGAGGAGCGCAGATATTTAAAACTTGACTGTCCTCCTGGAACACTGAACTGGAGTTGGCTGCAGCAAGACCGTCTAAGAAAGAAGCAAAAGCGCTGTTTTATCTTCATTCAGGACAAGAAACACTTAACTATCTCCCACTACACTGGAAAACACTTACCAGGCTCAGCCTGGCTGTTGCTCTCTGATTGGCTGCCGGTCTGAGAGCACCTGCTTCCTATTGGTGAAGATATTAATTCCTAGAAGAGGGAAGGTTGTAATGTAAATGACAGAAGTTGTCTTTTTTTATACATTTTCAACTTTTAACGTGCAACATTTGTTTTGGGTTTAAACTAATTTAAAGCTGCACAACAACTACTAACCGACTGTGGTTTACTGTTACAGATGCCTGAGTGTTGTATCTCACATGAACTGTGCTTCAGTGTTTCCCTGGAGGTTTAGTGCTTTAGAGCGTGGAGGAGAGATCGCCTGCCAGCAGGTCTGAACAAAAAGCCAGCACAGGCCTCTGTGTGACGAGTTTACTCTTTACATCTGAGCTGCAGAGTCCTCTCGATAGCTCAGATGTGAGTGTGAGTCAGTTTGCTTGTAACAGATTACTAGCCTCTGCCAGTATGTCCAAAGTGTAGCCTGCATTTTACCCAGTTTTTCAAAGTGAGCCTGACTGATTAATGGGCGGATGGATAGCTGAGGAAATGAACTGGACCGTCTGTGGTCGAGTTGAGTGCAACGTCCGTGAAAAAGCCACTCGTCTTACCATTTTACTCAAGTATAAATCTGGGCTTATTGTTCTTTATCTGCTCAAGTAATCAGTAACTGCATTACAGAGAGGAGAGCTACTGAATGAGATCTTCTCCTTACCAGTACCGGGCTGCGAGCGGTGGGCTGTAGACTGGACAGGCGACGGGCCAGCAGAGCTCGGTAGCTGCTCTCGGGGTCGTCTTCTAAAGCGACACTGTCCGGCTGGGAGTCCTCCACTATCAAACACGGGTTGTCTGGCTGAGGCAGGCTGGAGTCCAGTTCACTTCCACCGGGATCCATGGGGTCAGGCCGAGGGCAGGAGACGGGCTGCTGTTAGCTAGCCGAGCCGTTGTGAAACAACAGAGGTGTCGCCATGTGAGTCCCTACAACCGGCTATCTGAGATAGTCGCTGCTAGCTAAATAAAAGGCTAGCAACTAACGCTCCGCCCAAAAACAAAAGGGTGCCGCTTCCAACGCAACAGCAAGTATGCCCGAGAGGACCTTAACCATGCCCCCAGTGACACAGGGTACATTTACCTGTAAGCCAGCAAGGCCATTACGTTTTGGTTCGCGTGTGTATTTAGCAGCTTCTTTACATTTTCTTTGGAAGGACGAACATGGACACGCCCATATTTCGCTTCCTCGCGGTAAAATTGCTAGAAGTAATTTCATTGGTTCAGCTGCGATAACGACGTCACACGACTGGTTCGACGGTAGCAGGGTGGCTATAATGGATAGCATGTGTGGTACACATTCACTGTATCATTGTATTGATGTTAATATAGCTATAATTACAGTTTCTATGTGTACCGTATGTATTGGATTTTAAGGACTCTACGCAACACGGTGGAGTTTCACAGCCTGTGGTGATAAATCGTATCAAAGACAGAAATATGGGACACCAGGTCCCGCACTGGGATCTCGGAGACCTTCATGGGCCCTTGTGGGGTTTTCAGGAAGAGATATGGGTTCACTTTTTTTTACTGTAATTCCCCTCAAGAGTTTGTGTGCACAGATTATATGTTACCTGACATCCTGGATACAGTATAGTCTGTGTTTTCTGTATTTTGGCAAACAAGGATTTTCAGAAAAGGGGAACCCTGAAACCAAACCTGGGGGCATGGTTCAATAGCCTACACGTGCATCTCGGGCACTGCAGGCCTGGGCAGTAATCGTAAAAGAAACGAGGCCCTGTGATCACATGATGATTCTGGGTGATTAAAACTGCAATGAAGCCCGGGTTTATAAAACACGCTTTGTAATGAGCTTTTAATCTTGTGCTGCGTGCTTGCAGGTTTGAAGATTAATATTAAGTGACTTTGTCATATGACAGCTCCAGTTTCCATGGAGACACCACATTACCAGTAACACCGCAGTCTATGCTAATGTAGATCACGGTTTGGCAGAGGAAGTACAAAGGACCAATAATGCGCTGTAAGAGGCTCCTATGAAGGTGGGGTGCACGGCGACCTTTAAAACCAAACTAAATGATATCCACACCATGTTCAAGAGTCAAGAAGACCCTCCACTGCAGTCATCACAACCATGAAAGGCCAACAGTTAGACATTAGAAGGGTGCTTTGGATATCAGATGATCCTGTGAGTGATTTTATACCGATAGTGATGACAGCACGAGACTAACGAAGCAGGATGAGGTCACTTTAAGCCACTGCGTGCTCCAAGTTCATTCATTTTTACTCCAGCAGGCTGGAATCGTCTCTGCAGACTGGTTTTTGTTCTTATCTTTGTACAGCCTGTTCGCGTTTGATCTCACCCTCTACTCGCAGTGATCTATTCTGCTTAGCTTAAGCCGTGTGTGTGTGTGATGCCAGACAGAAGAGATGGGCCCTGGTCCTCTGATACTACAGGGAAACAGCAGCAGCATGGATTCTGACCGGCATTTCAATATGGAGACATGTGGCTGGCAACAATGCAATAATGAAGCCCAGATTGTGCCAGATAGCTCGCGGTGCTTCTATTCGCGGTAACAAAAGATGAGGAGGTGTGATCTTCACCCCTAGCTGGATGGATGCTGCTGGGCATCAGCTTCCTGCAGCCAACCTTACGACTGACACCGCAAAGTTCAGCGTCACGTCGTCATTTCTGCAGGTCGGCCTGACACCCACATTAAGAAATGCGCAGGCACTGCCCAAAATGTCTAATGTGAGCCACCTCTGCTGGAGCCCGACAGACACACACGCACAGACACGCCGTGGACGCATATAACGCTTCGCCCTGACAGCCCCATCACTATCTGCGCCCGCTTCTTTACCGCAGTGCTAAAAGAAACAAAAAAAGAGCTTTACCTTTCGAGATCAATATGTCTGCTCCTGGGCTTCCCAGTTTCTCTCACCGTCCCGTTGCTTGCAATAATAACGCGTCCAGCATCGCTCAGTTCCTCCTTACCTCTGTTTTGCTGAGAGTCGGGGTGTGGGATATACACGCATGGCACGTAAAGATGCAAGGGCATTTTTTAATGTGGATTTCGCTTGAGTCAAACGCGGCACCGATTAGACTAATTTAGAAAGATAAAAGTATTTTTTACCCTCATAAACCAAAAATAAGCCCAGAATTTAATGTCTCTCAAATTTATGCTCGACTTATTTCTAAAGTCATTTGTTCTCTCGGTGTTGTACTGAACATGTGACAGATACGGGTATTTTTTATGTTTCTCTGTGTATTCATACTGTACAGCCACGAACTTTGGAAGTGTGGCAACAAACAGACGCAAAGAATAACAATAATAATGCAGATGAGTTTTTGTGTGTAGACTGCAGTCACAGCGACAAACATCTGATTTATTAAAGTAAACAGACACGGTGTGTGTGTGTGTGTGTGTGTGTGTGTGTGTGTGTGTGTGTGTGTGTGTGTGTGTGTGTGTGTGTGTGTGTGTGTGTCTGTGTGTGTGTGTATGTCTGTGTGTGCTGAACATATTAAATGGAAAACATAAATAATCCCTGAGGAGCGATGCTCCTAAGTCTGGGAATATGTTGGAAGTGACACAGAAAGAAAATCACTGCCTTATATTCATGTATGTTGAACAGATGAAGTTTGGTTTAGACGGGAATCTACTTCCTAACCAGAAACTCCTCTTATCCGTACACGGCAGCCTTCCACATTACTCACTGATGCAAGTGTCTGTTTGAGAGATGGAAAAGTCTAAAGTAGGGTACAACAATCATCCGTTCATCATATGATTCTCAGCTTTCCTCGCTTAATATGATTCCCAAACAGATTTAGTCTCTCCTGCCCTCCTGTGTGTTTCCGGACTGTGACGAGTGTAATCAGTTTCACAAGCCTGTGCATCCTGTTGTCTGTGAATGTAACTTTCTCACATGTGTTCCCTTTTTCATAAAGTGACTGGTCAAAGTTTGGAAGTCGACAGCTCCTCACAGCTCAGATACATCTCCTGCGGTTTTCTACACATTCAACAGTGTGTGACATGTTTCTGTGATTTGGGGGGTTAGGAATGAGGAACATCTGAGGTACATCACTGAGACAGGAAGCACAGGCTACATTACTGTTAAGATTAGTTAGCAAACTCACAACAACACTGCTTAAAAATGTCTTGTTACTTTCTTGATTTCAAAAACTGATGTTGGACCTTCTGTCTGCAATAAAGCAGAAGTGAGGAGGAGCGGCAGTGCAGCTGAGACATCTCCTTCATCCTGAAGCCTAAGCTGTGTTTTAGTCAGTCCTACAAGTCCTCATACAGGCTGAGAGACGCTGTCTCTGTGCATGTGTAGGACATTTAGTGCTCTTCATCTCTTCATTATACTTTGGACAAAAATGCGCTATACTGTATATAATCATTCGATTTTCACATGTTCACTACTATTTTTATTTTTTTTTTGTATTTATTATTTTCTTCCTTCACTTACATTTGCAGCTTACCGTAAATGGTTTCGTTATGTTAAACAACTGTGGTCCAGATTTGAGCATGAGGTGGGTGTGGCTGTCATGTTGCGTGCTCCTGTGTTTGCCCACGCTGACTGGTTCTCAGTCAAACACAGTGATGTGGATGAAGCTGTAGTCGAATGCTGAGTGGTTGGAGCAGACTGGACAGTGTTCACTGGAAATAAGAGAAGGGATGCTCTCTATGAAAAGCTCTCGGTTTCTCTTCATTCTCTTCAGCTCCTGACTTCGCTCTTCTCGGTGGCTGGCTGATGACCAACAAAAGCACAAGCAAGAGCAGACCACAGAGCGGTTGTATCACATATTTTTGACACTGCCACCATCTGTTAACAGATGCTCTCTGCAGGTAGACAGGCAGCCTGCAGCTGCCCACACACTAACATCACTGAGCCATTCATTTCCCCTTCACAGAGTAGAAAAGCACTCTGAATCAGAGGACTAACTAATGAAACTCAGAGATTAACTTTTACAAACACTAACCTCATTCAAACAATAAATGTATTACAGAAAATAAACAAACACATAATTCAATTAAAATCAGTTAAATTGTGTTCCATGTTATTTATACAGCTCTGAATCACCACAACGGTCACCTCAAGGCATTTCTTGTATTGTAAGGTAAAGCCCCCTGCTGTTGGTGTTCAGGGGAGAGAGACTCAGAGATTAATGAGAACTAATGATTAAATGCAGAGTGGTGTAAAAACACATAGCGTCATCATCATGGGAAGCCCCCAGCAGCCTGGGCCTATTTCAGCATAACTAACACCTGATCCAGCCCTAACCTTGAAAGTAGAGATGCTTCTTTCTCCTGAATCCAGACTGGAAGCTTAAGGCTCTGCATCCCCTTCTACTTAACAGTGCTCCATTCATTAGTATTTTGTTTTTTCAGTGAAATTATTTTTGTTATTGGTCCGCAAACAGGAAGTGTACTGGGGGGCAAAAAACTGCTCTTGTAGCTCTTTTTTCTCCCAGCAGAGGCCAGCAGATACGCTGGAGTGTTTGACCTGGACTGCTGACTCACTCCTGGTAACACACATCTTCCCTAAGAGTAAATTACTCTGTGAGGAGACAAATTAAAGCCAACAATGAGCAATCACTGGAGCAGGAGAAGTAAGAGCCTCCAGTCACAGTCATGTGCTTCAATTTAAAAATAAAAAGCTTTATAAAGGATTAAGGGTCCAATAAAAACCACAATTATAAAAGCTTTTAAGAGACAAACAGATGAGAACATCTGTTACTCTGGATCTTCTGTCAGGAATGCAAAACTTACAAAGATGTGTATGTGTAGGAATAAAAGTCACAAGAGAAATCTGGCTGGTACTGACTGTTTGCATTGATTCAGTTTTGGTTTTATGGAGGAGGTGGTGGGGTGGGGTGGGGGTGTCAAGTTGCAAATCCATGCATCCTCTGCAATATAAGAAAGACTGATTTTTTCAAACTATAGAAATGATGTCAGAAAACACCTTCAAATACCAAAAACATCAGCAATAAGAATCAGAAGGAAGGGAAAATAGCAGACAGTGGACTGAAGGATCTGTGCATTCTTGGGCAGCCTGGCTGTGATTTGTTAGACATTAGATGACTTTGTTTTAATGTGAGCTGTGTGCATTCATCCCCTGTGTGTATGCCAACGTTACGTTGGTATATATGCAAACAAAAGGCAGCAGGAGAAAAGCTGGAGTGTCCAGAAGACTCATTCTGTGTCTTTATGTTGAAGCTTTCAATATATTTGTTGTATTCTGTTGTGTTTGTACTTTTCTGCAGTCTTCTTGTTGCTATCGATGGTCTGTATCTTGGTGACTTCCTTTATTAGTTGTTTTCTAACATGCTTGTTTTTTTTAATTTCCTTTCCCTCCTCTCCTTATTTTCTGTCTCAGCTCAGTTGTTCCCACCCAATCACATCCTGTGTAGATCTAGTTTTGTTTTCATTGGATGTTGGGTTTTCCACCTGTTTGACCACTTGCATTTATTCCCAGTGTTCCACCTAAACGTCATAATTTTACATAAAAAAAATCTGTTATTGACATTTAATAATTCTGTTATCCATCCATCCATCTATCAGGCACGCCCACGTGTAATCACATCAGTTAACCTGACATGAAGTGTGAAAGTAAGCTTACAAGAAAGACACAAACAAAAACCTCCTTTTCTGATTTCTTAGTTTTTTGTATATTTGTCACCCTTATGTGTTTCAAATCATCAAATAAATTTTTCAATACAAAAAGCAGTTTTTAAATGATGGTTTCATTTATCCAGGGAAACAGGCATCTAAACCCACAGGGGCCTGTATGTTAAAAAGCAACTGCCTCCTAAATTTAATACCTGGTTGTGGCAACAACTTGGCAGTTTTCACATTGCTATGGAGGAACTTTGGACTGCTCTTCTTCGCAGAATTGTTTTAATTCAGCCATATTTGAGGGTTTTCCAGCAGACCTCAAACACGTATTCACCAGCCTGGTTCTGCCAGAAGTCTCTTCCTGTTTTAAGAAAGTTTTTCCTCCCCACAGTTGCCAAGAGTTTACTCTTAGTGGACAATATAATCATTTTTTGTAAACATAAAAGTTGAACTGACAACAGTGGAGTTCATATATATGATATTATAGAGGAATTGTAAAGACCCACACTATAGACAAAAATGTCTTGATGCATGCTCAATCAGGAAATCCCAAAAAGTTGATTCTGTTCATCTGGACGTTGTCACTGGGAGAAACATTTCATCACTTACTTGAAAAGGGAAAGACCATCTTTGAATGGAGGAGGGGTGCATCTGTCACCATCTGATTGCAGCCATTCCCCAACTCTCTGTGGATGGGACTCATGGCCATTGATCACCAAGCACTGATCAATGGCCATGACAATTTGCATATTAATGATGAAGAAACTGATGCTCTTCCAGCCCACTGTTCCCTCAGTGGTGCTGGTTTCAGTCATGTGCAAATTTCCTATTTATAAGATTGGAAAATGCAGTCAGCTGACACTGACGAAGTCACCTGGATGATGACGAAACGTTTCTCCCACTGAAAACGTCCTGATGAACAGAATCAACCTTTGGGTATTGATGAAAATCTCACTTTACTGCAATTTATTGCATCTCTTCAATGATTTGTTAACAAGTTGTAGAATAGGAGCAAATGCACGCCTCAGCAATGCTAATACTTTTCTGCAGATATGTTGTCATGTATAAGGACAACTTGCAACTTTAGTACTGCTTCATCATTCAAATGAAGCCTAAAATAACAGTTTTCTGTGGTGACTGTGAGCCTTTGTTGTCAGTGTTACTCTGTGCACAGATGAAGCATTGTTCTATTCACAATCTGAACAAAGACACGTCAGTTCAGTAATCAGAGGCACACTGCCTGGTGCTCACAGTCACA